GCCTTGCGTGCCTATGTTTTATTTTAGAAATTACACGGGGTAAGAATATACCTCATTCCAATCCGTCGCAAAAATTACGGCTTGTTGTCGTTATTTAAAATCTCGAACTGGAAGTTATTCAGCCGTGACCTAAAACCTTCTGGAATGTTCTATTTCTCCTGTAATGTTCAAATTTAGAAACCTTGCAACAACGCTATTTAATAGCCCTTTTCACGGTTAATTTTTCTCATTTACATTACAATGTAATCCAACGTGGATGCAAGGCAATTTCGGGCTAAAACTACAAAATAGCCCGAAATTCCCTCACATACATGCTAGGTTTTATTGTAATGCAAATGAGGAAAGGTAACCGTGAAAAGGGCTATTCTTTAGATAAGTTTCTGGAAATTCCGGGTGTGCTTGTATAAGAGCGTGACTTTTGTCCATAAGAGAGCAATGAGAAATGTAATGAAGTTTAGCGCTGCTGAGTGCTGTAATCCGAGAAGTTAAATAAACCAGTTTGTTACTGTTACCGACGATCCCTTCGGCAGCATTTCGTATCGTTTGGGTAAACTGGTTCCTAGGCCTCAATATTTCGCCGCGGTCATTCGTTTCGGGTCACGTGGTCCGGGGCGAAACGTGTACTCCGGGCCGTTCGTCTGGGATACGAAATATCAATAGACTGCGAAGGCCTGGGAGAAAGCCGTACAGGAACTAGGCAACCCAACACTCTGTAGGATGAAGGTTCCCCTCCGCTGGCTGGGTACTTCCTTATATGGGCTATATAGGTATGTGCGGCCTCAAAGGGTATGGTTTATTAGCCGTTTTCGTCAGAAATAGCGTATCGATTTTGGCCATTTTGGTCTCAAATGAGGACAGGTTTTCTGAGCTCTAGTCTTGAATTAGGTGCTTTTAAGGAGCTATCCTACCTAGCATTTAAACGTATAAGGCAGGTCTGAAACACGGAATTCAATAACGGGTCAGGTCTTACATAAGGTATTGGAAAATCGCAAATTTTGGTCTTATATAAGGTAAAGCTTTGGGGAAGTGGGCCCCACACCCCCACCCATTTTTTCTGGGAGTACGTCTCCGGACCCCTCTTCATGAATCTGTGTATGTGCTAAGGGAAAACATAACTTGCTGTTGATAGCATTTGGACTGGCAGCTAAGGCTTTTTTGAAACACCTTTCTTGTCAATCAAATGGACTTTTTTTAATACAAAACAAATTCATTGATCACTTGGAATATTTCACATTTTATTGCCATGTTTAGACCTGACAATGAGCATGGAACTTCAGGAAAATCACAACATACAAAGAAATGGGAAAACCGTTCAATATTAAAATTCATATATCTAATTTTTCCAAAAACGTACGAAAACAAATGAGGATAATTTACATGTTGAATAATTTACACGAAAGTTGTTAAAAGCACCACGCACTGCAAATTACTTTGGTTATTTTAGGAAGCAGGTTTGTCTGCTGGAATCTGAAAATTGCTCAAGCTGCCACTTTTGGCAGCCATGTTGCTAAGGCTCATGGTGTACCCATGGCAACAAGATCGTCATGCTACATTCACATTGCTCCAGAGGCTTCAGATTGATAATAAGCATGAAAAATATTCGTTTTCCGTTCAACAGAATTTAACCAAACCTCCTGTTTCCTCTTGCGTGTCAAGACAATAATCTACAAACAATGTACCAGTAACTATATTGTCAATAACTTACGGTAGTGAAGATGAACAGCATGGCTGACATTTGTCATGCATTAATTTAGTTTTTTCCAACAATTTGGACGATGCTAATGCCTGGTCACAGCTCAACTTTCCTCAACAAGCGAGCTTCATTTCAAGACTCTCAATTTACTGTTAATGATAATTCAAACTCTCTTCAATAAATACCAGACTTTTGGGTTTCGGGTTAACATGCTGGTTAAGTTTTACTTTTCAGTGCCAATTTTGTGTTTAAATGTTCCCCAAATGACCTGACATGCAAAAGCAATCCATCAAATGAAAACGAAAGCTGTTAAACAAACTAATGTAAGTTAACATTAGTTATGACATTTCTGTTGGCAGATAACAATACTTTTTTACATGTCGTCAAGTTTAAAATGGTTTAAAATCTCCAAATGTGGTCGCATCTGAGACTGGGGCATGCATGTCCTCTCTTATAGCGCTCCGATCTCGGATTTTTGCAACAAGGAGAGAATGCTCCACCTACAATAAACAACAAAAAACAATGATAATAATAAACATGTATTGTTCGTTGCTTGCAAGGCAGCAATGCTGACTCTCAGCTCAACCTTGTAGGTGAGCTAGAAACTTGTCATTACATCACAAATTTCAGCTTGGGCTGAAAATGTTTCTCCTTGCAGCTGCCATTTTATGTGATTAATAACATGCGATTTTGCTTTGTAGGCCCAAGTTCTTTTTTCCGCCTTGGTGAAATTAAGTTTGTTTATTTGGCTTTTTGGGGCTTTGTAAGACTGTTTGACTAGGCTGAAATTTCCAGGTCAGTTTTTCAAACCATTGAAATTCTCTATGGTAAGTGATCACCCCTTTATCACTCTCTTAAGCCTCTCAAGGCTGAACTGCTGATACAGGCAGTCAGTATTTAGGTCATCACCCAGCAGAAGTGATGTGGATTTACAGCTGCATGAAATATGTCCTCGGCTGTAACTCACTCTCTTTAATCAAACCATATTAAAAACAAAACAAAATGACATACAGGGTGCAGCTGTTACATCCCTAAACAAAGTTTAAAGCTATGTGACTCTCATTCCCAGGTTCACTCTTCTTTCAATCTCCAGGGGTCAGGAAGAAGAGAGAGCCTGGGGACAAGGTTGAACTATGTAATATAAAAAGCACTAAACATACCACTCCAATACGGACTTCCATTTGCTGGACCTCCTGTTTAAGTCTTGTCAAAGCTTGTTTTATTCTGACTAAAGGGCCTACATCAAGACAAGTAAGATGACTGAAAATTTTCTTTCATTTAGTTCATGATTTTCTATACTCCTATAGCCTTACAGCATGACAAAGAATTGATGATATAAGATGAATTTAGATTTAGCTTCATGGAAAGGGCATGTGTTTTGCTGGGCAATGATATATTAAACTGTTGTCATGAATTGGCTATTCCTACTATAAACCAATTTCACAAGCTTTTGAGTCCTGGTGAAGTGCTTTTCTGTTACTCTAGGTAAAGGCAAGGTAAAGTCTGCATACAAGCCAAGTGACCCATCAGGCCAGCGATTATCCTGGTTTCTGTAGCATGAAACGACTAAGAGTATCTATACTCCCCTGCTGGATAGGATGCCAGGACTTCCATCACAGGGTTAATCCCAACCTCAAATTCAGCAGTACTCATTTATACGCCTGGGAGGAGAGAGGCACTTTGACAGTTAAGTGTCTTGCCCAAGAACACAACTCAATGTCTCTGGCCAGGGCTTGAACCCAGACCCCTCAATCCAGAGTAGAGTGCGCTAACCATGAGGCCACTGTACCTCCCTTTCCTGTGGCCTTAAGCCGTGGCTATTTGGAAAATGCATCTGTTTTACAAAATCTTACCTGCATCAGTCATGTTAGTGCCTCGCTCATCCATCTGAGCTTTGACAGATTCTAGTTCTTCTGTGATCTGTGAATGAAATCATGT